TCAACTCCCAGAATTCCTCAGACAGCAAAGCTGTCTGAGGAATTCTGGGAGTTGAAGTCCACAAGTCTTAAAGTTGCCAAGCTTGGAGACCCCTGCTGTAGGCGAGTCCGGCTGGTGTCTGCTCCGCCTCTCTTTGACGCCCCCTCTCTGCGATCCTTCAAATGCGTCAAATGAAAAGGCAACACGCGCGCTTAAATTTACCTTAAAAAGGCGTGTCATTTAGGTAAGATATTTACATACTCGGGCCGCTTACAGAAGCCAGCCAATTAAAAATAAAAGCAAACTCTTAATATAGGCAGTAAGAATAGTAGTATCCTCAAGGCAGAGACAACGCAGGCCCCTCAGTGCAGGAGGAAAGAGTTTAATGAAGCAATTTAATGCTTTTTAAAGACCAGCAAGGTTGTCCTTCAAGAGGTCCCCGCAGATGGCCGTGTTTCAGAGAAGGGAGCAGACACTTGTCTGCCATGTGAAAATGAGCAATGCCATTGGGGATATCCGTGACCCGTTTCTATTACACCCATAGAAGACAACATTGTCATTCTGCTTTTGGGAACTATACAATGCAGTGTTTTTTTAATCATGACAACTTTAAGTTGTGTGGACTTCAATTCCTAGAATTTCTCAACCAACATCTTTTCACGTATGCCAAATGGTGAGAAATCACCCGCCAATCATTACAGAAATGAGGTTTACTACTCTTTAAAATTCTCTACAGATGGTCCTTGACTTACAATAGTTTGTTTAGTGACTATTCAGAGTTACACCAAAAAAAGTGACTTATGACCAGTTTTCACACAACCATTGCAGCATCCCTATGGTCACGTGATCAAAATCCAGACACTTGGCAACTGACTCATACTCATGATGGTTTGCTGTGTCCCAGGGTGCCGTGATCCCCTTTTGCTCTGACAAGCAAAGTCAATGGGGAAGCCAGATTTACTTAACAGTTTGACTAATTTAACAACAGCAGTGATTCACTTAACGGTGGCAAGAAAGGTCGTAACAAATGTTTCACTTAGCAAAAAAAAAAAAATGGGCTCAATTGCCGTAAGTCAAGAATAGCTGTACATTCCTGAAGGAAACCGAAATGAGCTGAATTGAATTTGGGATGTACAGAGTTTCAAAGAAGCAGGCACTCAAGTAGGAGCTCCACAAACCTGTTGATCAGCTTTTCACATGTGTGGATGTTGGGGCTTTAAAAGAGCCAGAATCTCCTCTTTAAGACCACAGATATTTCAACTTTCTGCAGAGTTGGGAGGGAGGAAAAAAATGGATAGTGGAAGAGCTGGATTGGGAAGGAGAGGACACGCTCATATAACAGACTAAAATTGCCAATAGATGCCAAGCTGATCCTGCCTCCTGTGGGACATTTGATTAGCCTCCAACAGCATGTTCGGTGAAGTGTGTCAGATTTGATATTATATATTTATTGTATTTTATTTATTTAATTAATTGATATTGCCACCTATTCGCCCATGGTGATTTGAGGTGGCTTACACAATGCAAAACCATATTTAAAACAAAAAATAAAAAACAATAAAAACTAACAAAAATAATCAAATAAATTAGTAAAGTACAATAAAACAAAATTTTTGGGGGAAAAAATCCAACTCCCACCCCGCAGGACAGCAGATCTACTGTAGAATTGATGCTGGTTACTATCAGCCTAAGGGGAAAACACACATTTTCACATGTATTCTCTCCCCTCCTCTTTAATCCTGCCTTTATAACTAAACATAGAAGGTCATGTTTATCTATTTTGCACAGTCTTGTTGGTTTTATTGTGGTTTCAGCCTCATATCATTTAAATGTATGGTTTGCCAATTGCACAGTGGCAGATAGGAAAGCACACTCCAAAGGGTTAATGTCATTGCCCAGAGAATCATTGGTTGCCCTCTCCCCTCTTTGGAAGAGCTTTATAGCTCCCGCTGCCTTAAGAAAGTTCAAAACATTCTCAAAGATCCATCTCATCTGGGCACCCTTTTTTTGAACTATTACCATCTGGCAGACGGTACAGGATAATAAAAACAAGGACAGATAGGCTTCAAAATAGCTTCTATCCCAGGGCAGTAGCTCTTTTGAATTCTGTTGTACAGTGCAGTATTGGTGCGATGTTGGGGGTTTTCGGTTCAATGTATGGAGTGTGTAGGGTGTGTGTTTGTGTTTATTTTCATGGTCATGGTCATGGTCATGATGTGCACTGAAGATGGTGTTTGATTTCATTGTACGAGGTGCAATGTAAAGTCCTAATTCATTTTTCTATACCAAACTATCAGAACTCTCAGCAAAGGTGCTGCTGGACAGGGAATTCTGGAAGTTGGTCCCCACATTTAAAAGTATGCCCAGGTCCCCCTTCTACCGTATAATATTGGTTGTCTATCCCTGCTTGAGAAGGAAAATTAAAATGAGCAACTATGGGGAAAAAAAAGAGTCACAGACTGAAGTGCTTGTGGCTGCAATTACTTCGTTTATTGGAAGATCATTTGTGATCCTGAAGAAGCTAAAGTTGCATTGGACCTTCATAAGTAATTGGATTAACACTGAGGTTCTGCAGAATGTTTAATATATTGTTTATATTCATATATTATATCATACATTCCCCAGTAGCCAAGAAACTTCACAACTTGCCCTATTCAGCAATGTTTTTATGTTAATGGTGTTGTATTTGCGCATTTTGCTGTTTTTATTGCGTCACATTCAGCATAATTGGGGATGAGTTGCCCCAAATGTCCCCAGCTTTTGTGCCTTGCAGGAGACAATGCTTTAATTCCTACTGTCTTTCCATATTTTTCTCACCCTCTTTTCTAAAGAGCAAAATAACTGATTGATAACACAAGAGAAATTAATCACTTTTTCTGCCAAGTGGAAGAGAAAGCAGTGATTTGATCACCATGTCATCTGGATTTTCAGTTTAAAAACAGAAAATAAATTATGGCAACTATAGAGAAAATGGTTAGCCTGGAAGCAATTCTCTTTTCATTGGAAGTGTTTAGAGCTTTCATTCCATGTTTATTCCACATTGCTTGGAAGCCTCAATCATAATTCGTGGTGGGAGAATTACACGCTATAATGTGGTTTGTTTCTGCTTTGACCCATCTAGAAAAATGAGTGATCTTTTGAAGTTGTGGTAATTGGTGATCTCTCATTCCAATTTTATCTGCAGCAGCATTACAAAAAGTACAAGCCAAAGGATTTGGGATATCTTTCACTAGCTTAGAAAAGCTAGGTGATTCCAATTTTCAACAGGTGATTGAAACTGCTTCTGCTACTAATGAGTTAATTGTTCTTTTCCTGGGCTCCCCTTGCAGGATGCTAGGTGTAGGCTGCTAGGTACAACTCTGGGCTTATATTCCAGCATCCCAGCACAGTTTGGGGAACAAAGATTAGGGTTAGAGTTACAACATTCTTTGGAACAACCATAGGAAAAAAAAATAGCTTGAAGGCTTTCTTTCAAATTCACAGCAGAAAAGTGGGGAATACAACACATTCTGATTTATGAGAAATTA